AGCGATATGGATTAAAACAGCATTCACTTATCTTAGATGTGGATTTCAGATGTTCTGAAACACGCTGCAACAATTTGATTTGCGAGCAGCGATACTTAATTTGCTCCCATTAAAGCATGTCAACATATTCTGTTACACCAAATACACAAAATAATGATCTTTAAAAATGCATCATATGACCCCTTTAAGCCAGGACTAGGCCTTGGTTAAATTAGGTTATTTAAATAACTTTAAAAAATGCCTTAAGAACTTTACTGGTGTGCATCTTGAGACACGACAATGGCACTGACATATTTTAAGAGGTGTCAGTACAATATATTTTCAGTTAAGACCGCTTGAACATGCATTTTAGTCTGAGACTGGCCTGTGAATCCGGGGGATAATGTTTATATAACGTTAGCTGTGCTCTCTTTTCACAGTTATGAGGGCCATACTTACACTTTCAAAGCATCTCTTCCATTTCTTCTTCCTTCGAAAACTAAGATAGTCGTTAAGAGGGCTCTGAACCTAGATAGAACAGTAGTATTTTCATCCATTTTTGTATTTATACCGTTAATTAATTTAAACTTACTCTTTCAAACAACAGCCATGTCTATTAAACGTGGTCGTTAAATTATTGCACTCACCATATTAGCACCACCATCGTCTCTCCTCCGCTGCAATCACGGCTGCTGTATGAGTGAATTTAATTTATACTCCTCATAAACAACATCGAGTGAAAAAGAAAAAGACGAAAACAATCTCAGTCAAACTCGTTGGTCCGGGGTTCAAGCACGGTTTTGTCCGCTGCAGGCGCGTGAGAAAACTAGCTAGCTAACGAATGAGAAATGTCCCGTCGTTTAGACAAACAACAAAGAGGAAGAAACAGATCGATAAAGACATCAAGTCAGTTAGATAATGCTGTTGTCAAATACTCAAGATCATATGCTGCGTTCACACCATGTTCTACTTAGAGCTGTTCATGTCCTTGGACCGGGAACTGTGCGTTTCTATGGCAACACTATCATGCCTAAATTAATCTGCAGCAGTCAGGTATGGTCATGTGGTACAAGTAGAAGCTCTCATAAAATTCCCAGATTACAGATGGTAATTATGAGTTCTACAAGGACATTAATTCTTTTTCCAAGTTGGAATCTTATAATTATGGCAAATACAACATGGGATGAATGCACTTATACGTACCTGGTTAACTGTAAAAAGAGCTGGTCTTTGACATACCATCTGGGTGATGTCAGGCTTGTCATTGACAACTTTTCTGTGAAGAGCAAACATTAAAGTTACAGTCTTTATAAGGGCATGTGATTTAAGTGCATTTTAGTCTGAGACTGGCCTGTGAATCCGGGGGATAATGTTTATATAACGTTAGCTGTGCTCTCTTTTCACAGTTATGAGGGCCATACTTACACTTTCAAAGCATCTCTTCCATTTCTTCTTCCTTCCAAAACAAGATAGTTGTTAAGAGAGCTCTGAACCTAGATAGAACAGAAGTATATTCATCCATTTTTGTATTTATACCGCTAATTAACTTAAAATGACTCTTTCAAACAACAGCCATGTCTATTAAACGTGGTCGTTAAATTATTGCACTCACCATATTAGCACCACCATCGTCTCTCCTCCGCTGCAATCACGGCTGCTGTATGAGTGAATTTAATTTATACTCCTCATAAACAACATCGAGTGAAAAAGAAAAAGACGAAAACAATCTCAGTCAAACTCGTTGGTCCGGGGTTCAAGCACGGTTTTGTCCGCTGCAGGCGCGTGAGAAAACTAGCTAGCTAACGAATGAGAAATGTCCCGTCGTTTAGACAAACAACAAATTTCGCCGATCACAAACAGTCTCTCGAGGAAAAGAGCGAAAAAAAAGGTAAATGGCGGAAAATAACGTCCATACACCTAACTTATCTAAAACTAAAGTTTCCACCTTCTCATCCACAGCTCGTTGAATTCACACACAATCACACAGTGACAAAATGGTGTCGTTAACTGACTCGCAGCACCAGTGTGAGGAGGCGTGGTCATGATATAAACTTAATAATATGAGTTAATCTAACCGTGATAATTTACATTCGTCAAAACAAATATGTCTTAGTTGAGCTCTTAATGAAAAATATTTATATTTATCAATATTTTGAACTAAAAAATATTACTTGTAAAATAAAACAAATAATGGTAAATTTAATTGAAAGACAAATTATTAATTGGATGAAGTACTGCTTGAAAAACTTTTTTCAGTGTAGATGGCTGCAGAGAAGTAGGCTACTTACAGGCTTATTAGCCATTTCCACTCCCTAATATATATTTGTTTCTATTTATTATATTATATTTAGACATTATGAATGACAGTAATAAAAGTTAATTTTATCTGCATCTCAACTACCCCAGACAGCACAAGTACATCTGTAAGACGTCTGCTAAAGATCTGGGAAACATCTGCTGTGTAATCTGATAAACATCTCAGAAGCAGTTTTACATGCATTCTAATAAATGTCTATTTAACACGTGTCTATTTTACTGACAGTAAACGTCTTAGAGATGTATTGCAGATGAGCAAACACTGTAAATGCAGACATCAAATAGACATCTCCGAGATGTACATGTGCGATTAGGGTGAGTGCTTTACTGTCAGGTGCTGGTGCCATCTTCTGTAGAATTTAAGGGCACTGGTGCTGGTGTCCTCAAATGTTAGTCTGGAGCCCTACAATGGTTCTCGAAGTCAGAAAAGTCATAATGTTAGAAGAATGTTATCTGTGGTATATTTTCACTGCAAAACAATAAGAAATGCCGCAAATATCACCGCAAATTTTGAGAAAAGCCGCAGCAAAATCAGTCAATTTAGGCCACAAAAATCAGAAAAAAGTCCCGCAAAATCCTGGAGGGACTGATATATATATATATATATATATATATAATTTACAAAAAGTGTTTTAGTAGAAAGGGATCTAATATTCATTAAGCCAAGCTTTAGCATTTATTTATATGTATTATATCTGTTTTTTTTTAATGAAATTATTGCCCTTAAATGGGTTTGAACATTTTTGCGGTTTGCTTGTTCGGGGCAACAGACAGAGTCTATATTATGATATCTAGGTGAAAGAGTATCTATCTTCTATGGTGACAGGCAGACACATATTGAGCAGCAAACACACAGCAGTTCTTCTGTTCTCCTAACAGATACGGCACTTTCTCCTGGTCTGAAAGAGTTTTAAATGTCTGATGGATCTGCTGTACTTTATCATAGAACACTGTCCGTATATCTGTGTATTTGGGGCATTCTGTTAGGAAGTGCAGTTCTGTTTCCATCTGATTCAGATCACAGTGTGAACACAGTCTCTGCTCCGGTGGCAGCCATGTTTTTCTGTGTCTGCCCGTCTCTATCATCAGCTTGTGTCCGCTGAGTCTGTATCTGGTCAACGTGCTTCTCAGTTTCTTATCTGACACTGTGTACAGATACTCTGCCATACTGTACTCTCTCTTTAGGGCCAAATAGCATTGTATTTTAATCTGTTGTTGTGTTTGTGTTTGCCAGTGAGTGATGTAATTCTGTTTCATTTGTGCAGTAATCTGATTGATTCTGATGTTGTTAGTGTTGTTGTGATTCAGAGCATCAGTAGATGTTAGTGAAGCATCAGGACTAAAGCTCTGGATCAGCTGAGGGAGGGGGTTGCTTTCTTTGCACATCTCTTGGTATTGCAGGGCTTTATAATGATATGATTGGGGGTCGCTGAGTTGCAGATGTTTCCAGAATTTAATTGCCCTTTTTTGTATCTTTATGATTAGAGGATATTTGCCTAATTCTGCCCTGCATGCATTATTTGTTGTGTGTGCACATGTAATATATTTTTAGTTCTGCATGCAGGGTCTCAATTGGATGTTTTTCCCATTTGGTGAAATCTTTATTTGGATTTGTCAGTGGACCCCACACCTCACTGCCATAAAAGGCAATGGGCTCAATTACTGATTCTAATATTTTCATTGATGTAAATGTTAAATAATGTTGGTCTCTCTCTCTCTCTCTCTCTCTCTCTCTCTCTAATTCTCCATCACTCATTAATTTATTTATCTCTTATGAAAACACTTCCACTGTTTGAGATGTCTCTGGTCACAGCACGCATGCACATTCTTATTCTAAACCAGGACAGGAGGGATGTCCCATTAGTAATTACAGTAGAAGGGATGTCATGGTTGCTTAGTTAGCAACAGCATTTTGGGAAGCTGAATCTTGTGCAGCTCTGTTAGTATGCACCATCACACCTTAGTCCACCTTTAATGTAGGGCTTCATAGCAAAATACATTTAAAATTTTTGATTACTGGCATATCAACATAGATACAGTCCTGTCACATGGACCAATATTATGCCATTACCTCCTTTCAAGACGAGTTACTTTTATTTATATACCACTTTATTCAATACATATTCTTTCAAAGCAGCTTCAGAGTAATAACAAAGGGAAGTAATGGTGTTAACGTTTTTAATTAGTAAAATTAAAATGTATAACTTATAAAATAAATTCAATTTCAGCTTTAAAGCAGCTCTACAAATGACAATGCTGTCATTATTCAGCTGAATTTAGTTCAATTTTGATTCAGTTTAGTTAATAACAGTGTCTGTGTTAAAAAGGTTATCAGTTATACTTTGCATTATATAGTTAGTCTCTCTTTCTAATGAGCACCAAAATTATTTTTCTTAAGATTCATGGGTTTCATGTATGTACATATTCATTTTTCTCAGGATCCCGGGCAGGCTGAATGACAGAAGGACACCATTAGGGGAGCTGAACTGGATTTTCACAGCTATCACTGACACAATTGCATGGAACGTCCTGCCGAGAGGTTTGTCCTGATTAAAATCCAGATATTTGCAATCTCTGAAGATTTAGTTTTGTGTCAGTCAACTGCACAGACCTTTCAGGGCTCCCAAAAGAGTGACAAATTCATTTTGATCATTCAACATCTATTAAATTATTTTGGCTCAGTTTGAACTCCGATTTGCCTGTTGTCTTTGCTTTGCTTTTTTTCCACAAAATAACAGAAACTGTCAGAGACGTTTTATATATTATTATATTATATATTTTTTTATTTTCTTTTTTATATTTTTGATTTGTTTATTTATTTTTTGCATTTGCTCTCTAAAAAAAACCCTTATATTTTGACCCCATGAAAAGACATGATTGCTATAGTATTACTAATATTCAGTTTATCGTCCAGCCACAGACACAGTTTGGCAAATTAATTTTCTAAATTGGTTTTTACTTCTTTTAACACTTTATATTAGGGAACACATATTTACTGTTAACTAAGGTTAGGGGATATAGAAATATGGTCATGCATTTATATATGTTCCATAAGTACTAGTTAACAGCCAATATGCATGCTAATAAGCAACCAATTAATAGTGAATAGTGTTGCCTTAGTTCTTAATAGAAAATACCAAAATAGTTCCAAAAGGATCAGGATCAGGCAGGATCAACTGTTGCATACCCCAGAGCTACTCTGGCAGCAGTAAACACAGGCAAGTGAAGTGAGTCAAAGCATCCCAGTGCTCTTATACTGAATGTTGCTATTTTTAATCAGATTAGAGGACTAACACTAACTGTTGTATAAAGAAATATAATTATGTTTAATTTGTGCATTCACAAGCTTTGTAAATGCTTTACTGGCAGTTTTTACAGTGGTCTTCATTAAAACACAAGATATTTATCTAAATTCCCGAACTCAAGCATCGCACAACACCAGCTTTGAAGTTTTTACTCTTGTCTCTGTCCTGAGGAGGAACCAGATGTGATTCTGCGGGTATATCCTGACCTCTCACATCCTTTAATTAATTAATTGTACATCAGAGAGAAATCTGCATTATGAAAATCCCCAGGGTTTAATCTGTCGTTCACACACATCATAATTGTAGGGTCTCATTAAGACTGAGCATTTCAAACAAGAGAATTTAGAAATTTTAATCAAGTTACCTGCTATCACATGTCATTCCTTTCTAATATATAAAGATTTTTTTTATATATACTTTCTCACTCTCAATCTTTGTAGATCTCTTTCAGAAATTGTTTCGTCAAGATCTTTTGGTGGCCAGTCTATTTCGAAATTTCTTATTGGCTGAGAGAATAATGAGGTCATATAACTGTACACCAGTCAGCAGCCCCAGGTTGCCACCCACATACATGCACGCTATGTGGTAAGTGTATGAATGTGAACGCACACACACACACACACACGCAGTATCTACAATATTTTCCCTAACACTGTATGTGCAACATTTGTTCAGACAGGACCATTTTTTGTTGTGTCTAACTCATATGCTTAGTTGTTCTTAGGCTAAACAGTAAAAAAGACAAGAAATCCGTATTTGTATATGGTTTTAAATGCATTGGATTTTTGGAAAATTCTTGAAGCATCTTGGAGACGTTGCCACAGTTCTTCTGGATTTAGTCAGTAGAGTTGGAGTACTCGGACTCGAGTACAGTTTTTTTAAAGGACTCGGACTTGTCACGGACTCGGATGCATTTTTACTCGGACTTGACTCAGACTTGAGCCTTTCGAACTCTGAAAATATGTCAGAGTCCAACCGAGTCCAGGGACAGTTGACGGAAATATCACTGACTCGATGCATTATCACAAAGTGATATTCAGTATTTGCATGTGCTTTTAAAGTCCCCATGAAATCAAAATTAAAGTTTTTTGGGTGTTAGTATCAATATGTTAGTCTTAAGGTTATCTATAAGGAAGTGTGCTCCAAAACAGTGACAAAATTCGCATTTAGAAGATATAAGCATTCAAAGCTTGCAGTTCGTCACTTCCGCCAAACTCAGTCAACGATTTTTTTGACGTCACATCGTACTTCAGCTTCTCATCAAACTTTCTGTCCAATCAAATGCTCTCTAGAATCCGAAGCGCCCGCCCCCTACACTATAAAATAGACGCTGAAGCCGCGGCTGAAATCGGTCACTTGTCCACAGAATTAGTATTTTCTGTACAGTGAATGGCACGTAGTGCACTATATAGGGGACAGGGAACGATTCAAACAGTGTAAATATGCTTTCCATTGAGGAAAAAAATAAGTCTGGTTTCGCGCTGTGTCACGCTAACCACCGCACCGCACACACACTCTGCTCCGGTCCAGAGACATGATACCTCCTATTCATGTTACTAATAAATAATAGAGTTTCGTTGGACTCGGACTCGACTCGGACTCGGCTGTTTGGGACTCGGACTTGAGTCCAACTCGGCCCGTTTTGGACTCGGACTTGTCTCGGACTCGATTGGTCAAAGACTCGGACTCAACTCTGACTCTACTTGGGTGGACTCGAACCCAACATTATTAGTCTGTCTCAGTTTGTTCTGTTTCTTCATGTCATTCCAGACAGACTGGATGATGATGAGATCATCTCTGTGTTGAGCACTGGCTGTTGTGCAAAAAAAATTTCACTGGATTATTACAATTACAGGCAAAATGAATGTTTGGAAATGTAAACTGATATTTCCTACTGACACACTACGGCAAAAGATAGAAATAACTGACTTAAACCCATTTTTAGCTGGTGAAAATACTAGTATTCTAATAATTTTGGCCACCACTGTATAAAGTGATGTTTTTGTTAATATGTTAAAATAATATGTAAACATGTTAATATTTTTTTCTTAATGTTTAAATAATAAATATCAATATAATTTTTTATTATATTTTTACATAAGGTTGTGTATTCAGCAGCACATTAGATTTTGCTGTGGCAAAGTCTTTGAGTATCGAGTATTGTATTGGTATTGAGTATTGATATTTTGGTATCGTGGCAAACTCTCAGTAATATTCTGTTTTATTATATTTCTCTTAAAACCAAAATCGGCATGCCAGACTTTAAACAACATTCCATGGAGAAGAGGGAGCTTTTTTATTCCTACAGTGAATGGCACTACTTATTTATTTACACTGGTATTTTACTCATAGGTCTTTCCCTCTGCATTTTAAATGAACTATGTTATGAATTTTCATTCCCCCTCTCTCTCCCCATGTTTTCCATCATCAGTATCATGCTGTTGGCTAAACCTGCACTGTGTAATCCTCAGCAGTGTATGATGGAATACAGACTTTGTTCTCCACAGCTAGTTGATGCTTGAATCTCATAACATACCATTAGCAAGAGAGAAATAGATTTCACTTTCATAATGGAGCATCAGAGCTCTTTAGTTACACTGTGCAGAAAGTTCCTTGAGTCTTCTGATCTTCTGAAACAGGAGATGAGAAATGGAGAGAGGCGGAAATAGAGGGAACATTTGGTAAAGGAAAGAAAGAGTTACGGGAACATTAGAGAGGAAGGATGGTGCCTTCCGCTATTAGGAGGAGACATGATGAAGCAGGGTGGGGAGTAAGGGAAAGAAACAATACAGGAAACAGACAGAAAGAATATCAATGGTCTTTGTGAAATAATCATTGCAGTGTGCACCGAAGGTGACAGCAACTGTCCCAAAAAAACAACTGTTCACAATCTAAAATGATTATAGAACTAATGTACAAATTAACCCTTTGATGTATGCACGGTTTTACCATACATCGAATTTGTACTTAATCTAAAACTAATTTAAATGTTTTAAAATACTTCCATATTTATTATTATGGCTATATTTAGAATTAGCAGCATATTATGTCATTTATTTTATTAAATTAAGCAATATATTAACTACTATATTGCTAAATTAAACAATTAAACATTACAGTCCTGTTTATTATATGTATAGTTTTTATGAATGTCATTACACCATAAATAAAATGAATAATCATTATTGTTATATGATTATGTGGCTGAAAAACAAGACTCCTAGGTTCAAATCCAGGTGATTTTACAATTCAGCAAACAAAGCAGGTAGTTTGATTGTATTCATTTTGTGATTTTACTGATTTGATTAACTTGATCTATACTTAGCATTCATCCATTCATTCATCCCTCACCATGTAGGAGACACAGTACTGTAGAAGCAAAAGTGGGATGGGGCAGCCAGCATAGGGAAGGAAAATATCTCTGCTCAGAAAAGGTTAGATTTTTTTAATGGGAGGGAAAAGCAGATCAATTGGCAAAACCGGCAAGACAGGATGGACCAGTGGAGTGAGGATATTAGAGCTGGGAGGAATGCCTTGTGCTGTTGCCTGTTGTCATGATCCACTACGGCAGCTGGCCTAATGATATTGGGATTTTCTACCATAAAATGTTTGTATATTTACATTCAACTCGGAGACATCCTGCTGATAGGGACTGGCAAATCATATTAGAGCTATAGCTGTAGTTGTAGCTTTTGAATGGACAACACGTTTTATGTGTTATGTAATATCATGAATTAAATATAGCCAAAGTGTTGCGGGTTCAGTGATCAAAGTAATTCTCTCAGCCTATGCGGCAGAAGAAAATACTTTGAAAAAGAAGTGTTAAACCACAGTGTTTGATGGAGCTCTGAAAGTTCAGCACTGCTGCTGTAGGTGAAGTGTCAACAGATAATTAGTTCTCATGTAATGTAACATAACTTTACATGCAGCCTTTGACAAGTGCAGTGAAGATTACATGCAGATACTCTATAGCAGTGCTTTTCAACTTGTAGGTCTGTTCTTGGGTCACAGGCAGCAGGAAAAAACAGTGCTAAATATGTGTACTTAGTAATGTGTACTTAACTGCTACTTAAATAACTTTAGTACCATTTCGATATAAAAAAAAATCTACAGTACATCTTGATGCACAGCTTGATGCACAAAAACAAATCTTATTGCTTCTTGTGGAAGCTCAAATGTGCTAGTGGGACAATCGTGATCAAACCTCATTTGTTCTCGAGCGTCAAGAAACCACATATGAGCTTCTGTTTACCACATTTGATGTGTTCTGTGTTTGATATATGATATATCAGTTTATCTGTGAATATAAGCCTAAATTAAACATTTTTGTCATGTTTTTTTTGCATATTGGATTGCAATGGAGGGACAGAAATCTTTCAGGTTTTATTAAAAATATTTGTGTTTTGAAAATGAAAGATATGAAGTGAGAGTGAGCAAATAATGAAAGAATTCTCATTGTTGGGTGAAGGAGAGAAATAATATGTCTCAAAGATTTCAAACAAGTAAATTTACAGGGTTCTCCATTCCTTAATAATGAATGTGCTCAAAAGAAAGTGCCAGTGCATATTTTTATTTGGTCAGAACCAAGAAACTCACAGCAAGAAACATGAGCGTGGGATTGACTAATGTGGCATCGTTGTGTGTGTGTGTGTGTGTGTGCGCGCGCAGGCAAGCGTGGGACCTTGCGGTGGACATCTGCCTCTCCCAGCTTCCCACCATCATCGAGGAGGGCGCAGCTTTCAGGGTGAGCATGACTGATACTGCCTCTGTGTGAAGATCAGACAGAGAGAGACTATTTCATGATCAGTTATTCAGGGTCTTCTATAGCTTTTATTCTTTTGCCTCAAATTAGCACTGCAGTCGCACTTATGATTTCAGTTCAGTTGTAGAATCCCTAATCATACTCAAAGTGATTTGTATATTTGCCCTCAGTAGTTATTTAATTTGATCTGGTCTCGTGTTCTAAATGTTGTTCAGTTTTCTGTTAATATCACAACTTTTTGGTGTCTGGTTTGTTTTTCTGAGTTTTTAAGAAATATGATAAATCAAAATACAACATTGTTAACACAACCAAAGCAAAAGATACTGAATATTGGGGGGGCTTTCAAACCTGTGTTTCCCTCATGAACACCATGTCTAAAAGTGCCACAGACACATGTGCTAATTGCTGAACTTTTGACTGTTGTAAAATGTTATCTAATGGACTGACTCTTGTGACTTTCAGACATTTGTGAATCAGTGTCTGTCTTGTGTAATGGTTGCAGTGACCTTGATTTCTCAACCTGATATGATTTGTCTTTAGTGCAACAGATGCTGTTTCTGCTAACACACAAACGCTCATATTGCTGTTCTATTAAAAGAGTGTTTGAAAGTCTGAAATTCAGTTATGTAATCGTGCTGGGACTGAACAAATAATATGTCTCACATTCACCCCTGTCTTTATTGTTACTTTTGGGATTCAGTGATTCTTATATGCTTATAATTGTGTGTGTATCTGTGTGCAAGAGAAAAGAAAGATGAGAGATGAGAATTAGAGAGCCGCTAATGTCTTGATGTTTCTTACTTAAAAGGCTTTCACACTGAGCAGATTTGTTGTGATACAAATCAGAGTGTGATTGTTCCTAGTGCCCCCTTTAACATTGGTCTGATTTCACACTTATTTGCTTTCTTCTTATGTTATTACAAACGCGCACTGTGCATGACAGAACACACAACATGGGTCAATTTTTTACATTTAATTTGGTGTGATTATACGCAGCTTGATGCAAGGACACTTCCATCTAACTGTATTTGCATCGCATGAACGTGGCTTTCTGACATCTAATTGCGAGCCATTCATTTTGCTGCTCTGATTGCGCTCACCATGCAGGATTACACTGCATGCTCACGCTTGCACGTATCCTGGGTAAATCATCAACGCTGTCTTTCTTGCATGTGTTTTGCTGTACTAATGATGTTCTTCATGTGAATCGCATCACAGTTCCGGCACAACCAAACTCAGACCACCTCTTACAGGTAGACTTTGGTTGGATACCCAGCTGTACCCCTGGGTCCGCATGACAGCTTTCACATTACCAATTTTTCATGTGTAACATACCCCTATTTCAAACTAAACTGCCAGTGTGAAAGCACCCTGAAAGTGTGTGGTGACACAACTTGTTGAGAACTGGGCCAAATTACACACACTCTTCAAAGCCACTGTGAATTAAATGGTTAGTGGCAGACACCCCTTTGATTAATCACACATACTATGCTATGATACAGTATGCTAATATTCCAGAAACTGTACATTGAATAAGTTAAAGAAATATTACCCAAAAAAATTACTTATCCTCAGGCCATCTATGATGTAGATGAGTTTGTTTCTTCATCTGAATAAATGTGGAGAAATTTAGCATTACATTACTTTCTCAACAATGGATCCTCTGCAGTGAATGGGTGCCGTCAGAATAAGAGTTCAAACAGCTGATAAAAGCATCTCAGTAATCCCCACTACTCCAGTCGATCAATTAACATCTTGTGAAGTGAAAAGCTACATGTTTGTGTAAAAAAAAAAAAAACATCAAGGTGTTTGAACTTTAAACCGTCGCTTTTGTGAAAAGTCATTCCTCTGTTGTCCTCTCAGAACAAGCCAGAGGCCTGAGGGTCTTTTTTTAATACTAAATATGCATTTATTGTGGTTCATTTATGTTTTAAATTGTAATTTTATCCGATTACCAATTCTCGTTCATGACCTTAATACACCAGAGTTTGAAGAATTGCAAAATATAGGTCCTGAGAAATGTAGCACTGTTAAATGATCACTTATGTACACAGTTTTTGTCTGATTTAAAGCACTCTTCCACTTAAACCCTGTGAGTATCAGTGCTCACTGCATTTGTGTGTGTGTTTACTTTTCTGTCTCTCACAATTTGTTTTATATCCACAGCATAGTCCATTCTTTGCTGAGCAGCTGACAGCCTTTCAGGTGTGGCTGACAATGGGCTTGGAGAACAGAAACCCACCGGAGCAGCTGCCCATCGTCCTGCAGGTACCTAGAAAGCATTTTAGTGATCGTAGGCACACTGCTGACATGAAGTGGTTTCCAAAAGATTGGAAGCAACATCATTCTGCTAAATTCTAAGACAGCATTATATTTTTGCTTTACAGAGGAGACAGCCCCAGAGTGCAACAAGTCAAAACATTTGTCCAAAAATAGCAGATGAGTTGAGAGAAATATTGATTATGAATACATTTAATCCAATATTCAATGACGAAAATATGGCACAATATTCAAATTTGCAAAAATATCTTTGATGAACTTTTTCATCAGAGTTTTTGTTGTAATAAATGGCAGGCTAAATGCAACATACAAATATAGCATACAATACAGTATTAATTATTTTTCAGAATAGTTGCAATTTTAAAGTTGATTTGACTGTAAGGGAGAAATTTTTCTTGTTTCTCGAATTTGTTGTTGTGCTTGGAGTAAAACTGTAAGGTAAGTAACAGTTTGGTACGTCTCCATGTGGCTGTTCTACTGCAAAGGATAATCTAAATGCATCCACAAAACTGAATGTGAACATTGATGAGAAATTGAGCCTATCACTACATTAAATGAAATTGTCTTTAATTCTAATAAATCATTGATTTAACACTTAAAATGCTTAGTTTAGTACAGCCATGCTTTGCGTTGCTTGTGTTTGTGTACAATGTGTTTTATATTACAGTGTCTCCTGTTTGGGCTTATTCAGCAGGATGTGAGGTTCACTCCTCTGAGAGCAATAAAAGCAAATAAAACTCTGAGGCATAGAGAAAGAGAGATATTGACTGCAGAGACAGCACTACTAAGGGATGTGTGAATGGGTACAAAATACACAAAAAGTGTGTACAAGTGACTGACTGCAGGGTTTTGTGGTCCAGCTCCCTGGTGCTGCAGTCACACTGCAACTACCCTAAATTCCATTGACACCCCCAAACAGAACTACATGTCCCATGATTCTTCTCTCTTGGGCTGGTGTCAACCTCATGAGACTCAGGGTTATAGTATAAAGGCCTGTTCACACCAAGAACAGTAACTGACGATTTACTATATTAGCGCCTACATCAGCAAACAATAACATTCTGTTCATTATAATCACAAGACGCAGTTATGTCTTCTGCTGTTTTTAATGGTTGAGCCGCTTTACGCCGCATGGATTCTGATTTAATGTTTTAATTGCTCATCAGCTGGAAAAAAAAGGCTTCTAAAAGTAATTCCATCAGTACTGTTCTTCTGTGCTATTTCTTGCTGTGGTGTGGACTATTCTCATAGAATTAGAATGATTATTAAAACTTTATAGTTATCATCCTTGGTTTAAACAGGTGCCTTAACACACAGACACTCACACATTCTCTCACAAACCATCTGGGTTA